CTTGTGGGTGAAAAAGAAGGAAACAAAAACGAGAGGGAAGTTCGAGAAGTGGTCGCGTATTGCACAAATTGGACCATAGAGTGACACCGTTCATGCATCTGTAACTTGACAAAGTACGTTGTTTCAGCTTATCATAAAGAGTGATCCATAGAAACGTGATTATAACAATCAATAATTGTCATGTGAGATATAAATGACAACCACGCCACAATGCAAACGTCATTCCACTACTGCTATAAGTCTGTGCGAATAGTTGAGCTCGCTAGAATCTCGACTATCAACAATGTATAAGTCTGTCTTCAACGGTGTGATTGCAATCGTGTTCATTTGGAGCAATGTTGCAATTCTGTGCGTACTGTGTCCAAGCCCTTCTGGAATTCATGATGAATCGAAGTTAGCTGGGCAGATGAAACTCTGCCGGAGGAGATGTGGCCTAAGGTTTCAAGCAGATGACGCGGAATCAACATCAAATGAAGGGGTGATTAAGCAGTTCTTACACTTATTTAATGCAATGTTTATTTTAGTTCAAAGACAAACTAAAAGGCAAGGAATGTTTACTGTAAGTCTAGAACTTTAACTCGTAATCACCACGATTAACCACGAGGGACGTAATTTCATAATCTCCAATTCCGAAGTCGTCTTCATCCAAAATCATTGCTAGTTACTCTAATTACCTACAAAACCGAATGGAGAAATCGAAAACAAAAGCACCGATAACACTAAAAACAAGAAAATAATCAAAACAAAACAAGCTGCGAAATGCAGAAAATTCAAATACTACTTTCAAATTTTTCAGTAGGAATATCACATTAGGGTTTGATGGCTAGCTCTACAGGACTTTCTTTTTAAGTTACGATGTGTTTATTGAGGTTAGTTTTCGGTTTTTGCGCTATGAGGCTGCGCTATGTAATGATAAGATGACTGACGAAAATAACACACTCGATTAATCAATCTTACCTACAAATACCTTTGCCATGCCGATGACCTCTGTGATAGCGTTGTGCCTTTTGCACGTAAACTATCTAGTTTCTAGAACATCTTTTTAAAACTTCCTGTCCACTGGACCTCGAAGAATTTTGATATACGACGGTTTCATTTCTAAAATTGTCACTCACGTGGGAGAAAGAATGTTAGGATTAAAATACCTTAAAGGCCCATTTCCAACCTTGATGCAACGAGGTCGTTTGTTTTTGTTTTGAACCTCCGCTTTTGTTTAATAGCGCCTCTGATTGGTCAGTTGTTTTTACCTTGTCACGTTGTCTCAAAATACCTTCTGCGTTTTCTCCGATGATAATAAAGAGCTTGTCAAAATAATTCTGTTTAAAACAGTTCTATACGTTTTAATCCGGCATGGAATCGGATGAATCCATTGATTTTGTAGATTCCGAGGCAGTAAACACTTATGGATCGGTTGTTCCTAAAGAGGAACACGAAAATCCTGGCGAGTATTTCGAAGAAGGTGAAAATGTTGATCCACCACGTTTTCATCCATTCATCAAATTTGCCATCCTAGGTCAATAGGACCGAGGGTTAGTCGAAGTTTCCTGTCCATGGAGAGGAGCTTGCGCTCGAAAGAGTAGTCAAGGTTGTTGTCCATGCAAAGCAGCAAATAAAAATTGTAACGCAAACTGTCAGTGTCGCTGACGTTCCTGGAATGAAGTGACTAAACGGATCATGTGTACTATAGGTGGCCTCGGTCGACATATCGGCTGATACATCGGCCGATATATCGGTCGACTATCGACCGACTATAGGTCGACTATCGGTCGACAGTCGACCGACTATCGGTCGATAGTCGACCGATAGATCGGCCGACAGTGGACCGATATATCGGCCGACAGTGGACCGATAAATGTGCACATATCGGCTGATGCATCGGCCGACAGTTGGCCGATATATCGGTCGATTATCGGTCGACAATCGACCGATAGTCGGTCGATTGTCGGTCGATTGTCGACCGATCGTCGACCGACAGTCGACCAATAGTCGACCGATAGTCGACCGATATATCGGCCGACAGTCGACCGATAAATGTGCACATATCGGGTGATGCATTGGTCGGCTATCGGTCTATATATCGGTCGACTATCGGTCGACTATCGGTCGACTATCTATCGACTATCGGTCGACTATCGGTCGACTATCGGTCGACTATCGGTCGACTATCGGTCGACTATCGGTCGACTATCGGTCGACTATCGGTCGACTATCGGTCGACTATCGGTCGACTATCGGTCGACTATCGGTCGACTATCGCTATGTCCTATTTACAACTACTAGTTTCAGTAGTGTTCTTAGCTGCGAGGATCTTCTAATTTCATCTCTCCACCGCAGTGCAAATATGTGAATTTTCATATATCTAAATTCTTCATTCACTTGGATGTTTATTTGTACCCAATTCATTGACCAGCTCCCAGTTGGCTTGTTAGCTTTATTGGTAGAGCGCTGCACCGGTATCGCAGAGGTCATGGGTTCAAATCCCGTACGGGCCTGAATTTTTTTCAGGTCCTATTTACAACTACTAGTTTCAGTAGTGTTCTTAGCTGCGAGGGTCTTCTAATTTCATGTCCGTGCCTTATTCGGGCAAAAAAATTATGGTCTTCGGTCTTCGGTCTTCGGTCTTTGGTCTTCGGTCTTCGGTCTTCGTTTTGTAGACACCCGATTCTTCCGGACAAGATTCAAAATACTGTGAGGACACTGTAAAATGACGAACGGCGAATGTATTTACCGTAAAACAGTTGACTATATGTCCAGGATGGCTCCTGAGAAAGATGATTTTAGAACGTTTTCAGTGATCTGGGAATTTCGTGTTACAGGAAATTGGGTCGCGGCGCGCGTTACATCAAGGGCCTTTAAGTCCGGTTTATCAGTGGAGTTATGAGAGCCATGTTGTATTCACTTGATGCCAGGGAACGTAGCTACGATAACAGTGCGAATCGTATTAATTTCACGATCAGAAAGGGGAATCTTATGTCTGTGTTCATTGTAGTTGTATGGATATTCTTTTTTAATAAATACATGATCTAAAATCCCGTGTTTTTTGTGTATAATGTTATTATATTAAGTATTGTTTACGCAATTGTCTTGTCACAGGCGGCCCAAGCTCACGTCTCGAGAAAAAGCCAACGATTAATTCATGAACGCGTCACGCGTTGAATGACTAGGTGTTAAGTTACGAGAGGAACCGTTGAAAATTTAAAATGTTATAAGGAATAATATAGGGAACGAAATATGGTCGATTTACAACGATAATATTTCGAAATATGAAGATTTTTCTCATAAAATCAATAAAACTTACTCATACCCCGTACATCCGTTGTAGTTTCTGGCGATTTCTGCCGTTTTAAGCTTGCTTTAGCATCACTGTTATTCACGTCATCTACTTTTATTACGTTGGTAAAATCTGTACAGACATCACAGCAACCAACTCGCGCGCAAAGTAAGAAGACTATATTGAAGGCTTTAAATTATAATTCGATCGATTTTCATCGAGAAATGGGCCAGGAATTTTCCACAATAGTGCAAATAATCGTGAAGGTTGATCGCGGGAAAGCGATTGCGTGACGCTCGGTAAGCTGTAAGATGACATGTTATTATCTACCAGACGTAAAAACTCTTCAGATTCTCAGTTTGCATTTTGTACCCACTCTGCAGTCTGCAGTCTATATTTTGTATCCGGTCTGCAGTCTGCTGTCTGCATTTTGTTCTAACAGGTATCCGTGGCACCAATATAGTTTATTTTTGGTTACATTTATTCGCGCAACACATAATCTACCACAAAATTCTTGTGTGTGAGGTAATTCGACATTTTAGTTCTTTTCCGCGTTAATAATTTTGGAAACACAAAATAGCTTGGAAAGCGTTTTACTCTACTTTTTCTAAACTTCAAACTCCATACTCAACAATTTCCACCAAATTTTCAAAATGAAAACTTGTTTAAATTTGAGGCTTGTTAATCGTCTCTAACTACAAGACGTTAGGCTGAACTAAACAGCTAACTGAGGTTTCATAATTTTTTGGTCAGCCTGATTTTTTTATTCGTACATAAAAAACGAATAAATGATTCTGTGTGCAATGGTGTTAGCCATGAAATATATTTACATACAGTGCCTTCATTATCTACTCATTGGAGAAGCCTTATTTTAGATGGGAACATGTTCTATTCATGACCATTTTCTACTCCGTGATTTGGTTACATTGGTTGGAAGTTATTCAACTGATACCTTCTTATTTCCTCTTGCAGTTACGTGAACGTCGTCAGTCTTCTTATGAAGAGTGCCTAAGTTTTGTAAGGAAACGTAAGTAAAATCTTTTGAAAGGTACTATTTTATTTAAATGCAAATAGAGACTCCTCCAACCAGTCTGTTCCTTAAAGATCGGTTAGGTTTAAGTAATAATTAAGTGAAACATTCCCCTTTTCCGTAAAAGAGGTGGTGATCATTCACAGCTGTGGACACACCAGTTCATGCAGCGTTTCCATATCCGATGTGACTGACGACGTTTCGACTGCGTTTGCTACTCTTCTTGAAGGAGTAAGGTCGACTAGAAACTCTTCACCTAATGAAGCATTATTCTGCTATCGCCTAATTAACCTCTCTCCAGCAATTTTATTTTAGGTTGCCTTCGTTCACGTTTGAATAAGCAGAAACAATCCCTTGATCAGCGAACGAAGAGATTCTTCAAGAGAGAAACACGAGGTAATTAGAGAATGTTTAGTTGGTGAAAATCGTTCTGGCTTAGATTAAAGGATTGCTAATTTAAATATGGCCACGCATTTGGCATGTGGCTGGTTATTTTGCTATATGTAATAAAAGTGACGTGAAATCAGACAGATTTTTGCTATATTTAGTTCGAGTTCGTAAACATGAGAGCAAATGCTCACGGGCAAAGAGTTTCCATCATAAACTACAGCACCTGTGTTATCATCATCTTCCCTTGGCACAAGCGGTAAGATGAAATGATCATTTCAATCTTCAAAGCATAATATAAGCTGCCTATTTAGGTTTTCTAGCCGAATACTGGTCAATCACAAGGGCTCTTCACATGATGGACTCAGTTTTCGCTTAATCTGGTACCGTATGGAGTTTTGTGTTAGGTTTCCTCTTTGAGAGTGCTCAGTATTTGTATTATTTTGCTTATTTCTCACTACGACCATGTTCAAATTGAACAGGTATTGATGCAAAATGGCCTGATAGTACGGGAGGCCAGTTTCGCAAAAATGTTTGATATTCCGTTTCACTCAAGTAACCCTTAGTAGTGATTAGCATCCAATTTCTCCCTACAATATTACCCCTAAATCACATATTAAGGTCGCGAGAATAAAGAAAATGATCACCTGCGAAAGAAGCTTTTGATCGGTAAACAAACTCTCCTTTTCAGCACCTTAAGAAATGTATAAAGAACAGTTTGGAGAATATTTATACTGATTGTAGGGTGCAAAGGCTTAAAGGAAGAGGTAAACACACATTTTCTAGATTCACATTTGAGACTCACTTTCCCTTCAAGGCAATAGGGATTGCAGGTTCCATTCTATCTCAGGTCACGGACCGTTGACAATGTGATCAGATTGGATGTAGCGTAGGAAACGTAATTTTGTACCCAAATTTCAAAATGAGGTGCTTGCTCATGTGACAACAGCCTATTAAAGAGCAGTAAACAAGTTTGAGAGTTTGTATCGGGCGTAAGACTGGTAAACCGTAGCTGAAATTCTATTACAGCGTGGCAGTATTGTATACCTTTTTCCTTTCATTTTTTTCAGGTGCGGGTGAATGCTTTACGCGGGAAAAAGGTTATTCTCTTGAGTCTATCAGCTTGACTTTTAAAAAATTGAAAAGCCCTGGAAGATATGAAGGGGAGGTGTCATGGGAACCTTTCAAAGGTAAGCTAGGTGATCACACCTGTTATAATCATCACTGCGGTCAGCCTGTATCAAGCGGTCCGCACGTCATTCCCTATGGGCAAACGCTTATAATACAAGTTTGACTGTATTTTCCTGAAAACATATCTATACCATTTGGACGAAATTCTCAGAAAAAAAAGATTTTCATTTTGTTGAAATTTCTAGTCAAATGTCACACTTAGTGAAACTCTTAAAAGAAGACCCCACTATAATTTATTCCAGGTGTCCGCTTTTTAACAGGGTTTCGGCTTAAAAGAGTTTCGTAAATTGAACGTATAGATTTTTTGGCAATCCCATCGGTTGAGAGCATGTCAGTTTATCTTACCAGGACAAAGAGGTGATAGTAAATAAAACGAAAAAATGAATTAAATTACTTACCTGTTACAAACAGCTGAGTAACTATAAGAAATGCTACTACTTCGAATCTGTCTCACGAGGTCTTAGTTTTACAATTTCCTCCTCTAATGTAGGACTAAGGATCAAACTTTTCCAAGGCTTAGGACACTTTCTAGTCTGCAATGTACAATTATCACAACCAGCTGAATTAAGGTTCTTTGACTTTTTACCAGATGACGCGTTCAACTGGACTGGATATAAAGTAAGCTATATCATAAACAGTGATGACTTCAGATGTAAGGACTTTGGCAAGGTGAGGAAAATTTCCCCTTCTGAGTATGATTTTCATTAATTGAAGAGTTTGCTCATTTTTGCTTCGTGGTGTGTCTGTTCACAAGAAGTCTACCACTTAATTACACTGAGGCTACCTCCCACAACTTTCATAAGCTTTATTTTCACCACAGATGACATAGACTTACTGAAACTATCACTTATGTCTTCTCTATGAGCTCATTCTTAAGACTGGCTGGCAATTGTTTCTGATTTGGTTAAAGAACTTTGACAATTTTAGTGGGGGATCAGGGAGGAGGGCTTGAGAGGTCCAGAATCTCCCCACAACACATATCTACGTGTTTGTTTTTGTTTTTGTTTTTATTTATTCAATTTGTCAGGTACTAAAGTTCCTGGAATTGCAGAATCACATTTTACTATTTAAAATAATATTTTCTCTAATTAAACATGTCTTGGCTTGTTGAGGTTTAAGATCTGATAAAAATGTCTTCGAGGCACCGTTTGCCAGAGGATATACAGAAAAATGGGAAATTCCCTTTCCGAAACTGCCTAGTAATGCCCCTAAAGAAATGCACGCGGTACGAACAACTATGTACAGAACCTTCACGCATATCTGCGACAGACTACTTGACGAATTATCCCTTACTGCACGGCGATTAAAATTACCGCAGATTTGACCAGCCAGCTTCCATAGCCCAGGCCTATAAATATTAACCTGTTAACAAACCATACTCTGATGAGCTGAGGTTCTTGTTAGGTCGGATCCTGTGAGCAGTGTTACCCTTTGCTGGACGATCGTACCTTTAGTTGCTCTTTTGTTTTGTAGCGGTCACTGACGTTTATCATCCATGCATACAATGATGGTTTTTTAACCCACGCCACACCCAACCCAGCACACCACCCATTGCAGTACATCTTAGTAATAAGATGATGGCACACTGGTGCACTTCAATGCTTTATGCTTTATATGGTTTCAGGCTATTGCTAAACGATTTCTGAAAGCGTACTTGGCGGATATAGATTTTAGTTTAGCGAACTTAAAATGAGATACATGCCCAGTAAGCATAATTTTACTGCGTCTGTTTCAGAATTTTACGAGCTATAAAATACCATTGGAATTGCAAAGTGGATGGGAAATTTCTGTCCTTGTAAGTAATTTGTTTTGTGCATGTTAACTAACAATTGAATTATGAGATCGAAATTTTCATTGCGTGTTGGCGTCACAAAAAGTGTGGAAAGAGGAATTGAACTAGGCTATTTGTTATCTTATTTTGTGTTTGTGTGAGACGCGCTTCAGATGCATGGCGTGTATATGCGGAATGTATCTTAGCTGGAAGGCCTTTGCACTTTAAGCATACCTGCTGAAAGGTTAAGCAGTTACCCCTTTTTCTAACATTCAATTTGTATTTAAACTTTCTTTTTCATTAGGTTACACTTCTGCCATACCCGACTGGAAATGCTTTATCGATCTCCGGTAAGCTAATGAAACATAGTAACTATTATCAAGAGGGTTATGGTTATTAAATATCGTATAGGTACTCAAGTATCAAGAAAGAGAAATTCTGAACAGATATTACCAGCTTGTCAGATATTGACAGCCCGCCATGCTATGCAGAGAATAACCCTCTCATGATCCAACATGGTTAAGAATGTTAGATTGGAAATCGAAGCCTATCATTCTTTATTCAAGTCACGGCTTCAAAAGCAATGAATGAAATCGGTTGGCGTGTCATGATTTTGCAAGTTAAGACAGTGCGCTGTCTTCAAAGGATCTGCAAGATCTTCTGGACTTCCGAGTTAATGTCTTCTGAAAACATCTATGTGAGACCTCGAGTCTCTTAGCCTTTCAAAAATTGCTTGCGTGGAGCAGAACGCGGGACCAAAATAACTTGTCTTTTTTTCCTCTGCGAGCATCGAAATAAGGATATTACATTTGTGCTGATTCAAGCCTTTTTAGCGAAAAACGAATCTCTTATTAAGAAAATCCAGAAGCGTTTCTTTTCTAATAATTTATTCCACATCTTATTTCACTGAGCCAACTTTCGGTTAGATTATTCATTTCGCAATTAGATTGCAATTTACTGATGAGCAGCCTGTTTTTCTTCAGCATTTTCCCTTTTTTTTTCAGATTGTAATGTTTCAGATGGAAATATCTGTGGACCAGGTGAGTCTTCGTTATAATATCAATGTGGGTATAGGCAATAACATGATTTCGAGGCAGGCTGGTTCGCCCCTTGGATATTATCCCAATCCCAAGAAGTGTTGGCTTGTTGTCAAGCCGGAAAAGGAAGGTCGCGCAAAGGAAATGTTCGCAGGGACTGGTATTAACATCACCACCGAGGGGCGCAAACACCTGGGCGCTGCGCTGGGCTCACGGTCCTATCTTGAGCATTATGTGGGTGGCAAGGTAGAAGATTGGGTGGGAGAAGTGACGAGGTTGGCGGAGTTTGCAAGATCTCAGCCCCAAGCTAGTTATGCAGCATTCACATTTGGGCTTAGACATCGGTAGACGTATTTTATGAGAACATTGCCGGATATCGAGACCCTACTGCAGCCCTTAGAGCGTGCAATCTCGGATGTGCTTATACCATCGCTCATAGGACGTAACTGTTCTGAGGCAGAGCGCGATCTGGTAGCATTGCCAGTGCGTATGGGTGGTCTTAGGCTCATAAATCCATCTGATAGTGCGGATGCGGAGTACTCAGCCTCTATTAGAGTAAGCGCTCCACTTGTAAGAGAGATAGAGGCGCAATCCCATGAGACCCCAGATGAAACCGAGGTACAACGACTGGTATACGCCACCCGGAAAGAAAAGGATGATGGGTTAAAAGAAGAGCTTGAGGAGGTGAAGGCCAGGTTGCCAGACAAGACACAGAGAGCCGTGGACCTGGCCTTTGAAAAAGGCGCATCCAACTGGCTTACAATTATTCCTCTCAAAGACATGGATTTTGATCTCAAAAAGCGGGAATTTCGTGATGCCGTGAGGCTCCGATATGATTGGCCGATACCCGATCAGCCGTCAGTGTGCGTTTGTGGTAGCATGTTTACAGTAGATCATGCGATGATCTGCAAGCGTGGAGGCCTAGTTATTCAGCGCCACAATGAAATTCGCGATCTACAGGCCGAGCTGCTCGACATGGTCCGTTATGATGTGCAAGTTGAACCGGCATTGCAACCTATCACAGGCGAAGAGCTTGACAGAGGGGCTAATCAAGCCCCTGATGCACGCCTTGATGTCCACTATAGGGGTTTCTGGGAGCGACAGAGGGCTGCTTTTTTTTATATAAGGGTGTGTCATCCCAATGCGGACTCGTATAAAGATCTTAGCCCCAAGCAAATCTACAGGATTCATGAAAATGAAAAGAAGCGAAAATACAACTCTCGCGTCACAGAAATAGAGCAAGGCACATTCACCCCATTGGTATTTACAACGACAGGAGGGATGGCTGACGAATGCCTGAGATACCACTCAAGATTAGCCGAGCTATTATCCGCAAAAAAGCAAGAGAGCTACGCCACAACAATTTCATGGGTCAGGGAAAAAGTGTCTTTTGCAATTTTGCGGAGGGCGCTCCTATGCCTAAGGGGATCGAGAACCCCGAGAAGGAGAAACTTGAATGTTAAGGACAGGGATCTAGAAATCGAGAAGGGTCAAGCAGGACTTTGAAAATTCTTTACTTTGCTATTATTATTATTATTATAATTGTTTTATTATCTTCTCCTTTTTTAAGTTGAAGAAGTAAACCTAAACGATGCGTGTATTCGTTAGTTTTTCTTAAATTTTTATTAGACATTTTAATGTATTTTTCGATTTTTTTTAAGGATTTTATAATTTTTGTAAATATTTTTAGAGATCATTGTGAATAAAATTTCCCTTTGTTTTTAATTAAAAAAAATGATTATGATCATGATCATGATCATCATCATCATGATCATCATGATCATCATCATCATCATCATTATTAATAGTAGTAGTAGTAGTAGTAGTAGTAGTAGTAGTAGTATTGTTGTTGTGGGTCATGTTGTACCTGCTATAACTTTGTAATTTTAAAAGAATATTTATTTACAAATTTTTATCCTCTGTAGGTGTCGCATCAAAGGCTTCATCAACGGTAACAACAACAACAACAACAACGACAAAAGCATCAACAACAATATCAACACCAGGTTTGTTTTTAAAAGATTGCATACTTCAATTTTGAGACACCAAAACAGTTGAAATGAATCTAAGTTTTCACATGCCTTCTTTTCGACTGGAAATTGGAAAATTTATTTCTGCAGAGGCACATAATTCTTAATATGTACTTAATGATAACGTACTGCTAAATTTCTTGAAGGGATAAACAAACTTTACAAGAGGTCTAATAGTAGAGCTTCCATTTACAATTTGGGCAAATAGATATGTTTAATACATTCATTGCAATTTTGTTCTACCAGCCATAAACTTTATTTTAAAGAGATAGTTTTCACGTAAAAATCTGGTTATCTTTTTAGTGTTAAAGTCCACTTCCTACGTTTTAAAATTTCATGTTTCACACTTTTTGGCCTTTTGACTTATTTATGTTTCCACAAACAATACATAAAAGATACGACTTTTTACGATAATTACTGACAACTACTTATAAGACTATCTGGTTAACTTTTCTTCCCTGTATTAAGTAAAATTCTTGCAAATTTTAAAAATTTAACCCTTTCGACGCTAAATCACCTTTACTGTTTGATAACTCATCGAAATATTTATGCAAAATATCTTCGTCAATTACTGGAAGGATGTCCGAAGAAGGCCACGAAGGAATAACCTATTTGAGGGATTAAGAAATTATGCTTGTAGAGGTCAACGTAGACAGAAGAGGAATTTCTCGAAAATAAGAGTGCTGGAAAAATTTTGGTGATAACAAAAAACCTTCTGTTATCAAATTAAAATGGGTTGTCCGAAGCGAAGATTATGACAATACGACTTTCCACTTTTATTTTTTCCAGGTAACAAAAAGACGACCACTATCATTATTGGAGTAGTTTCGGCCATTGCCTTTTTGGCAGTCGTAATAACAACAATGTGTTATTGCCGACGATCGCAAACCAATCTTACACCATCGATGCCAGGTTAGTTTTTTCCCCTCAAAATTCACTTGAATTCAATCCAACAGTCAGCTACAACTCGTTGTGCTCGCGTACCATTTTAAGTTCTGGCGTCTGACGTCGTCTGTGATGTATTATTTATGGCATTCGGGAGACACATCTCTTTCATGAAAGTAGGATGTACCGCTCTTGTAAGATTAGGAAACTGCTATACTCAGACTCACATCATCAGTGATCAACAATACGTACTTCTTTGATTTTTCAGGTTTAAAATTTGAGTACGATGCATTCGTTATATTCAGCTCAAAAGACTCGGATTGGGTGGTAAACACTCTTATCCCAACTCTGGAGAAAAAGCATGGCATGAAGTGCTGCATACATTACAGAAATTTCACACCAGGAGTCCTTTTTAGGGACAATGTGGTGGACAGTGTTTACAAGTGTAGAAAAACCCTTGCTATTGTCTCTACTCACTTTTTTGATAGTAATTATTGTGGATCAGAACTGGATTTCGCCCTTCATCGACTTATGGAAAAGAGGGATGACAGCCTAGTTGTCATCAAACTTGATGAAGTCGATAAAAGGAAACTTCCCATCGAACTGCAAGAGAGGAGTTACATAGACTATTCGAAATCAGTCGAAAAGGAAGCGTGGGAGAAAAAATTGGTTGACTGCTTAAAGAACAAAGCTAACAAATAAAACAAAGCAAGCAATAAATCATAAACAGAAAAAGCAAACGTCGATATTTGCCTTGTAAGCTTTCTCGTGGGGGCCATGTTTCGACATGCTGTGATACGAAAGAGACCTCAATCTAGTCTGTAATTTTCACAGGAATGTTAATGTCTCTTATCAGTAGTAGTTCTGCAACAATTTATTATTCGACCAGCTTCGCTCTCTACCTTTTACACACAAGGGCAGTCTTTTTCACGATTATATGGGTATATATATTTAACAAATAGATTCCAAGTTGCCGTGCGTCTGTTCAGTAATAGATCACAGATGACGTCAAAATGTGGTAAGAACAAAAAAGTGGCACGCGAGGCGCAGCTGAGTGTGTCACTGATGTTCCTTTTATATAATAAAGAATTAAAAAAAGCTTTAATGACGACGTCATCTATACGTCTGTCCTCCAATAGATCACAAGTGAGATGCTAGATGCTACCTCGTAAATGCAAGAATGAGAGAAACATAGAGAATAGGAGAAGAAAACGACACACACCATTCAAAAATGATAAAAAGAAAAATTTCTTTACAGCACTTACCTACATTCATTCCCGTAAACATCATTAGAACTATCGCGATCGATATAATAGTAGAGCTATGTCAGTTATCCCTCGTCTGTGCCTGCAGTCAAATATATAGGAATCTTTGGCGACTTAGTGATTTTAGGTAAACTTGATGCAATATTTCCTCGAAAATGTAAAATTTTCCCTTTTTTCATTAATTGGTTATTTTAAATACGTTGTTGTTGTTTCTTTTTTTTACACCTGATTGCAGATTTCTCTCCTAATCTCAAGTGGAAAAATATTTTTTATTGAACCTCAGTGTTCATGATATACAGGTGCCTCATCTCGTAATTCTGTTATTTGAATTGAAGCCGATGTTTGTATGCTTGTGTGTTTGTTTCTTTGTTTTTGTTTTCAAGTTAAATACCACCGAAACGGCCCTATTTTGGGGGCTGAAACAGATCTGTTCGATTTACATTGCAAATGTTTTTATCTCAGTGTTGTTTTTTGTCCTTTAGCGTAGTCAGTCAATCTTTAAACATCGGATATAATGACAATAAATGCTAATCACAATATTTCCATCCTTCTCGAACAATTCAGAAGAGATTTCACAGACGGAGTAAGTAAAGTACACGTGGAACTGAAGGAAGCTTACTATAATATTTTCCTTTGCGCACAATGTAGTTTCAATTTTTTTTGTCACTTAATCACGCTGCTCTTTGTTACAGAAATCATCATGATTTCTGTAATATGAATTTAAAGCATGATGCTTTAAATTCATACACTGGATAGAAATATCAACCGTGCTAATGTCACGCCACCACGTGCAGGATGTAGTTCCACCATATCCGTTCGAAAGAGCTCGTTTGAATATTCAATTGGTATTCTACGCAGCAGACACCCTAGACATGAGGCAGTCTAAGATTCACCAAGGGTATCCGCAGCTTTCCTTATCTCTCTTCTTTATCTTTTCCTGTTTTATGGATTAACTACTCACATTTACTTAAAGCACTAGGACAGGAACTCGTGATGTACAAGATTAAGCTAATTTTTCGAGAGTGTTTTAAAATAATATTTCCCTTTCAATGCTTGATCCCCGTTTTTATAACACATGTCCCTGGCTTTGTACCACTCCTTCTACTGTTACTACGTCACTCTTTGTTACTTAATATAGAGAGAATGTAGACTGAAACCCGCAAGTCTTGCACTAGATCGAGTACTGTGTTGACCGGTTTTGATTGAAAAAAAAGTAATTATGCTCTGTATTACCTGTCCATTCAGTCTAAAAGCACTCTAAATTCAGAAGGTAGGTAACGTTATTTCAAAACAATTAAATCGGAAACAAGGACAGACAAAGTACACAAATTGTAATAATGTGTCTATGAGAAACCGAAGAGAAAAACCTAAAGATAAGGAAGCAAAACAAAATTATCATAACATGTACTAACCTTATAGCTGAAAAAAGGCAACCCTGATGGCATTCTTTCAATTTCATTCAAGATAGCGTTGTAAGGTTATATCAAGTCAAATTGAAATAATTTGCAATCTATTGTTTTTCCTTCTAAGAATGGCAAAACTACACTTCGATACGGAACTCATAAACCTCTGGAGAGGTAAGAGAATGAACGCACCACATCACAAAACTCAGTTTAACATCAGTTTGTTGGTCCCAAATATTTAACAGAAAAGCGGAAAACAAGCAAAAACGTCCCATTGCACCATTTAATAAACTACTTCAAGTTCACAAAAATGTATGCTGGTGGCATGAATCAACAAAAATAATTAAGGGGTGTTTAAGGCCGCTCCAAAACAAAGAACCATTAAAATATCCATTACCAGAACAGTATAAGCTCCTTGTTCACAAAAACAAGATTTGAGGAGGACCACTCGCGTGAGTAAATTCCCTTCCCTTGAAAGCAATGACTCATGAAGAGTGCTCGTAAAGCAGCTTCAAGATTAAGGTTCCTATGCTTAATTAATATTAAGGGTCTTCTAATATTTGCCTGTCAAAAGGAAAGGTGTCTACTTCCGAAATCTGCCCTCAGCATTATTTCTTTAGAAACTGATTTGGTATTTTCGTTTGATAAGGCGGGCTAGGGCGGGTTTGGGTACATTTTTCTTTAGTACCAAGAAGAAATTTGAAGTATTGCGCCTTTCTAAAACCGTTATAAGTGAGGTTTGATAGAGTTTTTAGAGTTTTTTAGAGTTTTCATCTTAATAGAGCCATAATTCGTCGGAAAGATATCCGTATAACCTCAGAGGTAGCGGAAAACAATGGCAAAAACAATCTACGATTGAAAAAGGTTTCAAGAAGGCTGAATGATTGGGAATGAATATAATATTGCACATTTCCCAATTTTCCAATTGTATTCTTTACAGGGGAAGTTGTTTTGTAATCTTGCCTATTGCTTTTTACGATAAGTTTGTCATTGAACTAAACGAAACATCATTCCAAATGTTTGAATTTCTAATTACCTTTTCGCCTGATAGTTCTGCGTCATTGGCTTGAAAGCTAATGCTACATCTCCTTAAACAGAGCTCCATCTGCCCTGTTAACTTGGATGCATTTGAAATTCCAGAAGAACTTCGACACGGCACGGGCACAAGTGCAAAGTTGCTCCAAATGTGCACACAAAAAAACTCTGATGAACAAATATACCTACATTGTTTTTCGTCAAGCTTCCTTTGTGCTAAATTTTCATGAACAGACAACTCGAACTGCTGGTATAAAGTTTACATTTGGGTAGCAGTCATCTGGTGATTATTCCGGTTATTCTTTCAAGCAATAAATATTTGCTTATTCAAGTATGCACCAGTTTTAGCTGAACGACGACACACTTAGATTAAAGAAGAAACTCACGAAAGATAAAAAAAGAGATCTTTCAAAACAAAAACAGCAAAGATGGAAGCATCAATAATCAGAACGAGGCTGTCTCTTGAAGGTTGTCTGAAAGTAAACGACACCGACTGCCAGCTGCCAAAAGTTCAGAGTAAATGAACTATAAGATTGCATCGTTCACACTTAAGGCTCTCAAAGAGGCCTATGTGAATATCCCCTCAGACGTCATTTGATGTAAAAATAAAATGACCATTAACTTCATCAATCAAATTTGAATACGATACCTTGTCTTGCTAGGAAAAAAATAACTCCAGAATTGTTATGAAAGGATCGGACAGACCATTATGGTAAAACTTTGACTCTTTTAATAAGCACCAGTAGCCACCTAGGAGTAAGTTATAATCGTGATATCTTCAAACAGAGGCAAAGCGATATAAGCTTTCAAACATTCAGCGGATTACAATTCAACGACATAGTTAATACAAAAATCGTTTAAGTTCCTGGAGACGCCACTTCATGCTGTCTCCGATGGTAATCAGATCTAGAGGGTGTGCCCGTGCTTTTTCCGCTTTCTCTGTTGGACTCTATATCGATTTTCTATTTTCTCTTGTGACAAACCAGATTTAACGTTCAGTGGGTAGAAGGTTCTTAGCACTTTGCATACTGTTTCCGGTCAAAGTCACACGACTAGTCAGGAATGACAATTAATTGGTTGATATAGTTCTTTTCCTATTTGAAAGCGTCCCATTCAAAAACTGAAACCACAAAAGCTTCTTATTCGGAAAAGGCTAAAACACATCTCAGAGTGTAATTCTACGTGCAAAAAAGAAAACAAAAAAGAAAAAGCGAAAGAGCACGTTATTCCCCCTTCTTCCAGTTTAACCGATAAGCATAGGTTATATTGTTCTGGTTATATAACCGGCCAGTGATTTTAAAGTAACTCAAGCGACAATTTAAAATGGAGCCATGAGGATTAGGTCTAACACTTATGGAAAAAAACAGTTATCTTAGGAAACGAGTCTTTTCTTCAGGATTCGGATCTCTCGACACAAAGGGCTCCAGCAAATTGTTGGTCTTTAAGATCTTTATCATACACCCTGAGATTTTATATATTTATATTCGGCGCAACTCTTTAAAACAAACAAAAATTTCAGAGTTTTAAGGTTTATATCGCCTCTTGATTTTTCAGTAATAAATCACAAATGACCAAAAAAAAATGTTCTAAGAGCTCACGAGTGGCTCAGGAGGCGCACTCTTTTTCGCCTTCTTTATTACCCTCTCTTCCTTTCAGTTTTGCTTTCTGCATATCTGACTGAAAAGTGAAAGCAATAACAGCCACTTGTACAAGGTGTTTTCAAACCTAAAGAACTGACCAGCATTTTCTCCTAAATTTCATTTTCAACCGATTTTCAGCAGGAAGTTTGCCTATGTTTGATAACAAATAAGCCATCATCTTTCCTTTCTCTTGGTCGATTGATGGCGTAATCCAGCTCTAACTCACAACTCCGCTTACTATTAAAAAATTGATTGGAAACTAAAGCGCTTGTCTTCTTATGTGTTTTGACGAAAGGAAACTCCAAGAGTGAGATCTCAGTCAATCGATCTTTATATAAAAAGCTGAATTACGAGCGCACTTTGAATGGCTCTTCAATTATGATGTATTGGAGAGAAGACGCATGGAAGACATCACCATCAACAATTTTTTCTGCCTCTTTATTATATAATTAACCAATATATTCCTAGTTGCCGTGCGTCTGTTCAGTAATAGATCACAGATGGCGTCAAAATGTGGTGTGATCTATTACTGAACAGAAGCACGGCAACTTGAAATCTATTTGTTTTATATAATAAAGAATTTAAAAAAGTTTTAATTATGACGTCATCTATACGTCTGTCCTCCAATAGATCATAAGTGAGAACCAATCAGAATACGTGCATGACTGAGCTTATTATAT